GTGAGACATCCACATCGTACTCTCCTGCCTGGTAAATGACTCATGTAGTGGTTGAAGTTCCAAGTTAATATGTAATAGAATACTATGTAATGTAATAAAATTCCATCAGTTGGTAGATTACACACAAACAGTGCAGTTGTAGCTAAACAATTTGTACATTTGTAGCTGAACATTGCATAATTTTGGCAGGCTTTGACCTTTTTTGTTCTCAGAATAGGGTGTGTGCTGAAGACGGACGGAAAGCAAGGAACTGGCCGAGAGGGGACTGACCTGACTGAACTGTGTGACCAAAAGTGACTGATTCTGTAACAATCCTCTTATCTAGTGCTTTTATTTGTCTCTGCAGAGACGGTGATTCTATTCCTTACCTTTTAGACTATTGAACTGCCTTTCAAATTATTGAACTGTTCAAAATTATTGTAATAATAAATGATCATTGGAATTGGAATGATTTGCCTGAATTAAGTTCACATCATACCTTGGCCACCACACTCTTCTGCATGAAATCTGCTTCTACTGCTCTCCGGTGTGGGTGAGACACCCTTGTCATGCTGTGCTGTTGAATACATGACTTGCCTGCATTTCCTGAGCTCCAGTGAGGGTGAGCAATCTTCCACTAACTCTCTTGTTGAGTAAACGATTTACCTGCAGTCTTACCTGGTTCTTCTGAGTTTCAGTGTAGTAAGACATCTTCTACCTGCTCCCCTGCTGAGTGCACAACTTACCTGCACTCTTACTCTGGTCTCCGGAGTGGCTCCCCTCTCTCTACCTGCCTTTGTCCCCAGCTCCACACTTCTTGCTCACCTTCATCCCCCAGCTCCACACTGTCCACCTGCCTGTCTGGTCTCCCACTGCATGAGTGCCTCGCCTCCGGTTGGCCCAACATAATCTGCCTGTCTCATCCAGAACCTGCTCTGCTTCTATTCTCCTTTCTCCTCCATGCGTTCCTTATTTAATTAACACTACCGTGTCCGTGTCTGCATATTGAGTCCACCTGTACCTGCCTGACCATAACACCATGCTGGTGGGCTAATCCATGTTGGTTAACAACTTCAACAGGTGGAAGACCTTGTCTTATCTGTTGTACACCCTGTTGTTCTGGACCACAGACGTGTATACCAAACTGATAACTCAAGATCATATCAAATTTTATTTGTATAGCTCGAAATCATAACAAAAGTCATCTCAGGACACTTTACAAAGTAAGGTCTAGACCTTACTATTATTACAGAGGGAAAACCCAACATATCCTCCTTGAGCATCACTTGGCGACAGTGGGGAGGAAAAACTCCCTTTAACGGATGAAACCTCCGACAGACCCTGGCACTTGGTGGGCGGCCTTCTGCCTTGACCAGTTGGGGTGAGTGGATAGAGTTGAGAGAAAAACATGTGGATGCTTGGTCACCCTGGGCCAGAAAGAGTTTTTGCTGAGCTCCAGGGCACAATATGGATCCTCCAGTGGCTGAGCTGACCAGATTATGTGGCAGCGCCTATGGTCAGGTGAAGGACTGGAGGTGATAGGGGGCAGGTGCTTGCCCTTGTGGGGGCAGATCTCACAGGAAAAGTAGAGAGCTGGAGACAGCAGGACTCACGGAGGAATGAGCTCTGCTCTGAAAGACATGGTGTGTTTCTTAGAGCAGGCAGAGAATGAGGCTCGAATGGCTAATGTGGCGTGTCTCTTGAAGCAGGCAGAGGACTGGAAATGGCTGGAGGGACACTCACTACCAAAAGGCAGGTAACAGGTAATCGAGCGCACAGCTGAAACACAGGACCTGGAAACATGCAACTTAGCAGGTAAGTAATGGGTAAGAGTACAAGCAGGAGCCAGAGATGACTTCTGGTAATGCAGAAACAATGAACCGGTGGTGAGGCACACCAATGCCCGGCTTCAATAGTGCCAGACAGATTGGAAACAGCTGTGCATGCTGTACCTCGCCTACCTGTTTGGCTGCTGGCACGTGAGTGGGTGGAGGTGCTGGCTGGGGACATAACACACTGTCCTACTAGGACCAACAATATTATTTAAATCCAACTATAAGCTTTATCAAAAATGAAAGTTTTAAGTCTAATCTTAAAGGTAGAAAGGACTGACACTGGGAGCTGGTTTCACAGGAGAGGAGCTTGATAGCTAAAGGCTCTGCCTCCCAATCTATTTCTGTGGACTCTAGGAACCACAAGTAAACCTGCACTCTGAAAGCAAAGTGCTCTGTTGGGATGATCAGGTGCTATGAGGTCTTTAAGATATGATGGAGCCTTGTCATTAAAAGCTTTGTATGTAAGGAGAAGGGTTTTAAATTCTATTCTGGATTTTAAAGGAGCCAGTGCAGAGAAGCTAATATAGGAGAAATATGATCTCTCAGCCCGGTGTCTGTAGAAGAGGTGATATGTGGCATCCTGGTGCCAGTAGGAGTAGGAACTACAGAGGGTAGCTCAGTACCCAAAGAAGAAAGGCCAAAAACAAGTTGAAGAAAGGATAGGACAGGTGGGGGTGGCTCAGCACTCAGAAGACAGGAAAGTGGGGGAAAAGAAGAAGAAACTGATAGTCTGGCCCGAGACCTTGAATGATGGCTGGCTGCTGCTTTAGTGGCAGGAGAAGGCTGAGCTTCTGCAGGAGAGTGGACAGTTATGGAGCTATGTTGAACTGAGAGCTCCCGGAGCCTGCCTGATATCACTGCTGCCTGCTGGAACAGTGGTCAGGAAAAATTCTAGAGAGGAGCCGGTAAAGAGTGACTTTTGTTTTGGTGCAGTGGAAAGCAATATTCTAGGCTCACAATTCCCACTGAAAGCTGACCACTGTCCAGTCAGAGATGTGGGACCGGGAAGGTGCTGGAGGGGAGCAGCATGAGGCCTGTGCCCTTGGTCAAAGCATGTGGTCACTGCATCTGGCAAAGACCGGCATCCTAGGGCAGCCTGTGCATAGAATGCTAGCTGCAAGATGGCAGTGAATGGAGAGCAAAGCTACCATAGCAAGTCAAGTCTCTATGGCCCAAATGTATGGATGGTGTTAAAGAAGAACCCTGGGAAGTCCACTGGGGCCCTGGTGACAATGTATTATGTTGAGTAGTCCTGGAAGGGTGGTGAGGACTTGTTGTAGGTCTGCAGGAGATCCAGGCAGGAAGATGGCATGCAATGGTGGCCTCGGGACACTGCTGGCTGTGAGGAGGACTTGGTTGGGTGCCAGGAAGCGGAATCCAAGCCAGCCTTGGGAGGCGAGATGATTGAGCAGGTAATCTGACAAAGGGAATAACTCCCTCTCATTGGAAGGTGAAATGGAAAGGAAATCCATGAAGAATCACTCAGTGAGTCACAAACAATCTGATCGTCAGCTACACTGATGGAGCTTCAGTCACTGGAAAAGCAGAAGCAGTTGAACAGACCTTCAAGAGGGTTTAAATAGTAAAGGTAGAGAAGAGGTGTAGTTCAGGTCAAGTCCTGCTCCAACACTCGTGTCTGTTTCTTTCCCTCTGCTTCATTTAATGAAGCATAATCTCAACAGTCAGCTGTTTAAATCACACAAATTCTGTTGTTTTCTCTTTCTACTGATATCTGTTACGACTGATCAGGCTGCTTGAATTTCACTTTCACTTTTTCCCTCTGTAATGACCTGGGGTAAATCAGTCGAATCGATAAATCCATAGGCTACATAAAAACGCAACTACTTCCTGATGATCTTACATGAAAACTATTTTTGTCCAATACACTTGTCTTGTTGGTCAGCCTGGAACAGACTCTTTGACCTACTGCTGTCCTTCTGACAGAGAGACAGCTGTTCTGATGACTTTAAAGACAGAATGTGCCACTCAGGTGTTGATTTCAATATGGACTGAATGGAATCATGCTCCAGTAGTGTTTGTATCTCTTCCAATGTGTTTTACCAGTTAGAAAGCACTCTTCATCACCATTTTTAAATCAACACATGAGAGAATATGTTTTAGAAGAATTCAAGTTATCTCTCCAGTACATTCCATACCCTCAGAAAATCTAAGACAGAGATCACTGAAGCTGTTCTGGAGGGTCCTGGTAACCCTGATGTTTTTCATTTGTTTGTCACTTGTTTAACTTTCTGTGATGGATGAACTGAGCCTGTATCTGTTGTTTGGTTGACAAGTTAGAAGCTCACACATTTTCACACACAAAAATATAGAAGAGTTCTAGTTTGTAAAGTTGCTGAAACATGATTTCTTTTTAGTGGAAGATAAACAAGTGCTCTGCAGTTAAGAAATACATCACTTTCCATGGGTGATACTTTCGGTTCCTCCATGATTTCAGAAACCATTGTTAGTCACATAAACAGATTGTTGCTACCCTGACCACAAAACAAAACAACAAACTAACTAACAAAACAACCTTTTTATGTGTGATCTGTTTGACAAAATTTAACACTTAAGTATACTGTAGTTACAACAAAAACACTTCCTCTAACAGACAGATACTGCATGTGGAACAATATGCTTAACCACAATGTTTGCGAGTGGCACAGGTCATCTTTAAACAGGATGTTAGATATCTCCTCTTCAGCACCGTTGTTTTTAAGATTAAAACAGAAGATAAAAACAGATATTAAACAGATATTAAAAGCCTTGTCATAGTAGAATGCAGTAACAAGAAAAAGTAAACCATCAGCCTAACATTTATGTTCAACATTAAGAATTGTGTGTTGGTGTGTGTTATATTATCTGGCTGTATTTGAACAACAAGAGAAATAAATGGACAATGTTACATGTTAAAAGACACCACTATAAGCGTGTATCATAGAGCTATGACTGAATACTAATAATGTTGATCTAGTTGTTATAAAGTGAATTCACAATATGTTTAATGGTGTGTGTCGTGGAGTGCCTCCTGAACCCAGTGTCAATCTAACTAACCAGAGAAGAGGAATGACATATTTATCAGTATATAACCAAACATTTTGTTGATAAAAACTCCCTAAATGGTGCTCCACCACCTTTAAAACATTGTACATAAAAACTACAAAAGAAACTCATGATCTATCTTACCTGCAGTGATATAGCTAGCGAGATGTTTTCTGCTTAACTGAGGCTGCATGTTGGGTGTGTATGCTTTGTCAGTGAGTACAGGCAGAAACTAGCAGTGTGGTGATAACCACAAGATACATCAGTGTCTCTTCAGCCAGTGTAGATTTGAATCAAACAGCCCCACCTGGAGGTTGCCAACATTCACTGGTGATGAATGCTAAAGGACTTTAGAAGTAAGAAAAAAAGATGGCTGAATCATATTACATTACTAACTATGATAGAACAGTTTTGACAAACAAAAACTAGATGGTATCCACCAGTCTCCACCCTTTGTACAGCAGTTCAGCATTTTAATGGAATTTTTAATCTCCTCAGTGCATTTCTGAGCTTTTCTGCCCTTACTCCAACTCTAGGCCCCTTAGATCCTCAAATCTGTTGCTCCTTACTGTTCCACAATCAAGGCTAGTTGGTAAGGGAAGTCATGACTTTTCACTAGTTGCACCAACACTGGAAGTGTTGCTTTCAGTTACAAGTTTGCCCTCTGTTGACACTTTAAGGTAAGGTAAAACTCAAGACATAGTTGTTTTGGATGGCCTTTGGGTGTTCGTTCATTTTATTTGCATGTTTTAGATGCCTTTTAATGTTTCTTGCACTCTTACTCATTATTTTATGTTGTTTATAATGCCCCATATTCTTACTGTTGTCTCACAATTGTCTCACAAATGTAGTTGTTTTTAAATGTGCTGCATAAACAAATTTGATTAATATTGATTTGAATTCAAGTCTTCTCCATTTTTATTTTAGTCTGTACTGTGTGAAACATTCAAACCTAAAGTGGTGACATTATATAATGGCAGAGGTGGCAAGTAACTAAGCACATTTACTCAAGTACTGTACTTAAGTACAATTTTGAAGTACTTGTACTTGACTTGAGTATTTACATTTTGTGTTGCTTTTACTCCACTACAATTATCAGGGAAATGTACTTTTTATTCATTACATTTATTTGATTGTTACTTTGCATATTCAGATAAAGTTTAATTGTTTTTGCAAACTTCAAGGATTTCATGCTTTGGTGTTATGGGATTAAATCTGATATGTAGCAAGGTTCAACAAAAGGAGGTGGTGCTTACCAGCATCTTTCCTCGGCCTTCCATGCATTACAAACAGTCAGGTCACAAACATACATGCCCCCTGTACTGTATATCCAACAATTCAATGACATCTCTCTCCAGCTTCCTTCCCATCTCATATGCAGAGCATGGTCACAAAACATTCAAAATAGCAAAATTAAAACCATTAGTGTAGATCCATTACAGAATCAGTTGCGAGTGTAAGGATCTTCTCCCTGGTTTCCCAGTACATCAGAGTCAGTATGCCAGTGGTCCACAGCCTGCTCCTCAAGGGCTTGCGTGAAAGAGCCTTTATCCCCCTACAGAAGTGGGTTATAAAAAACTTCATCCCAGAATTCCGAACTATCCTTCAACAGGGGCTGCAGTGTAAAAACCTTAGCTGGAGAGTAGGAGCAGCCGAGATCCAGGTAGCATTCTAAGTTTTTATTTTTTCTCCCACACCATTTCAATCATTTTACATGATGTTTAATTGTTACTCCAGATGGGTGCCCCATGTATTCCCTTATTTTTGTAGACTAAACTATATAATTCAAGGTTTTTACTTCTAAACTTTTGGCATATTCATGTGCTTACACACTTTTTTTTTAAACTAACATACTTCCTGTTTTAGAATCAGCATTATAGGCTAATCCTCTGACATAACACTGTCCACATTTTAAAACTAAATTACATTATACGCTGCTATGATACATCAAAACCAAGTAAATTACTTGTTTAATCAGTATTATGTAAAAATAATGCAAATTCATACAAATAAAAAAGATAATGTTTCACTCATTAGATTATATGCTTATAAGAAAACAATTAAAGATCATAAATTCTACAGCTAGTTCTTAACAGTAGGGGTGTAATACCCACTCCAATAACAGAGTGGCACTACAGGGTATTTCCAACCACTGATTCAACAGGAAGCAGTTGAAGAAGAAACATTTCACCGGCTCAAAGTTTTAATTTAAAATTCTAACTTGTACAGATATATGTTTCCATTTATGCAATGAAACAAGGTCTTCAATTTTATTAGGGTTGACGTGCAGGTTTTCAATCAACCCCAGTGAGCGTTCTTTTTTCAGAGCTGCATACATGAGTGTCTGGAATATATATTGTGTATATGTAAACTACTCAACTTCAAACAAGGAACATGTTGAGTTTCAAATCCACAAAACACATTTTTTAGGGTATTGATTCTGTACATGTACGATGTGGCTCTACTGTACATGCACACATATTTTAATGGTTCTAGGTGGTGATACACTGTTTTTTCAAAAAACAAAAAAACAACCGTCGATACGGTGTATCGGTAACGGTAATGTTTTCACATCATTCACACAAAGCCTAGTTACACCCATTACATAATTCAGACATTGTTCTGCTGCATACAATTTTGCCACCGGATGACACTGAAGCGAACCTTTGAATGAATGTACCAATACTTGATACAAATGATGAAGTGGTTCTATGCAGGTGTCATGCTGTCAATTGGACATTACTAACTACTACTACTACTACTACTACTACTACTTCTTCTTCTTCTTCTTCTTCTTCTTCTTCTTCTTCTTTTTTTGTTGTTTGTTGTTTAGCTATTAACAAACAACTAGGCAAAGTTAGGAGAATATAAAGGCTTGAGGTGTCCAGACAATGAGCAACTGGGGAAAGCAATGAATGTTAATGAAGGACCAGAGTAAAGCTGAGGCAGGTGAGATGACAAAAACAGGAAACTCTTACAAAATAAAAGTCCCAAACAGGAAACAAGTCCAAAACCCAAACAAAATCAGTATCTGTATACAAGTCCTCATCAGGTTGTGTAAAGAAAAGACAAAAGAGTGTTACACTCTTGTAACTGGTTACAATATAAATTAACTTACAGTGTAAATGAGGTGACTTCATTAATAAAAGTGGTTTATTTGAAAACTATCATCTGTGTTTTTTACAATCATAAAAAATTTCCTTAGTACATGCCATGCTTGGCTTATAAAACACACCTGGTTTCTATCTAACACAATTAAGATGTCTGTTGACTGAAGGAGTTATCACATTGTTAAAGGTTAATTTTCACACATGGCGAAACAGCCCTGTTTTACAATAATCAGTAGTACAGCAGGGAAAACCTGCTAAGTACTAAGGAAACTAAGTACTTAGGAAAAACTGCTATAGCACTGTCTCTAGTGGCAGAATGGAGAATATCATATACCATAATGATACACCTTTGCTTCACTAGTGTCCCTAGTGGTAGTTCTATAAATAACATATTGTATGTTTCTTGGGATACTCTGAATGTGTGTACAACCACAAATTAGAAAAAGTTGGGATGGTATGTGAAATCAAAATTAAAACTGAAAATAGAGATGTGTAAATAATCTGTGTCCCGTATTACTTTGAAAACAATACAGCAGCACATTATTTGATGTGACATCTCATCAATTTTATTCTTTGCTCAAAATTAGAGGAGCTTGATAGTTAAAGGCTCTGCCTCCTGGACTCTAGGAACCACAAGTAAACCTGCACTCTGAGAGCAAAGTGCTCTGTTGGGATGATAAGGCACTATGAGGTCTTTAAGATACGATGGAGCCTTGTCATTAAGGGCTTTGTATGTTAGGAGAAGGATTTTAAATTCTATTCTGGATTTTACAGGGACCCAGTGGAGAGAGGCTAAATCTATTCTGGATTTTACAGGGACCCATTGGAGAGAGGCTGATATAGGAGAAGTATGATCTTTCTTGTTAGTTCCTGTCAGTACTCTGGCTGCAGCATTTTGGATAAACTGGAGGCTTTTTAGGGAACTATTGGGACATCCTGATAGTAAAGAGTTACAGTAGTCCAGCCTGGAAGTAACAAATGCATGGACCAGTTTTTCAGCATCGCTTTGAGACAGGATGTTCCTGATTTTTGCGATATTACACAGGTGGCAGTCCTAGAGAATTGGTTTATGTGTAATTTTTAATTGAAACCAGAAGCAATGTTATTGCACTAGAATAATGAATAAATCAGCTGGAGTGATCAGGCAGAGGCAGTTGACAATTGTGGCGCACAGGAGAGTGTGACTGGAGAGCTGGGTCCAGTAGGTCCAGTGAGCTTGCCTGACATCCACCGGTGCCATTGTTAAAGCAGAATTTTTTGACTGCATGTGTTTTTGTGGATATATTTTACCTCCTCTCAGCGGCTTCAGTGATTAGTGCTACTGCCTCACAGCAAGAAGGTTCCAGGTTTGAGCCCTGGCTGACCCAGGGCCTCTCTGTGTGGAGTTTGCATGTTCTCCCTGTGCCTGCCTGAGGTTACTGCATGTCTGGGAATGTTCCTACAGGGACTCACGGTTTTCCCCGACTGGGTCTAATCTACAAGCAGCCGGCCTGTGAAACCCCCTGTGGCGAGGGAATGATCAGCTCATCAACACTGTTGCATGTCTGTTAATGCCTTGTTTCTGTAATGTTAGAGAGAATGGTTGTAAGGCTGGAGAAGTTACTATGTCTGCTTTATGCCAGATAAAATATTGAGTTTCTCAATTACCTGCTTTGTTCAGAGTGTTACAAATCTCTCTTCATTGGTACATATACTGTTGTTTACCATTCTATGGGGGAGAAATTCAAATTAATTAATGCTGTTGTGGTTCATTGTGCTGTCCACTTTGGACACAACACCAGCAGCAGGAGCTGTGTGCGTTCATGAACTATCCTCTTGTTTTTAGGAAGACACTCTCTGGTTTTATCATTCTGAAAGACTAGACTATTTGGAGTTATGATGTGTGCAAAGCTAATCTAGACGCATTAATCTTTAAATGGCTGGAAATGCACTCTTTAAATGGGATAAATACAAAATAAATTATATCTATGACCATATAGGAATGACTAGGTACTTTATTGATCCCACAGTGGGGAATTTCTGACCTAGTTTTTGAAGATGTGCCTGAAACTTTGAGTCATCTAAGATTGTTTGTTGTTTCCCCCACCCACTCGCCCTTCTCTCTGACATGCCTGACTTTTCTTTACTAACACTCTCCTCACATCCTCATCCACAGCTTCACCTCCTGCATTCTTTCAATATATTCCCTTTTTCTTCATTCAACTGATCTCATCACTTCACCAAACAATCACCTCAGTGAGTAAGTAACACTTTAATTTTTCATTTAGATTTGTTTAGTTTCACAGCTTCATATACACTGAAATACATCTGTTAAGTTCTTTGCTGATGATGTTTCAGTTTCCCGCTCATTTTGACTTGTTTCTTTTTCCTGACACTTGTTTCATAAAACCAGAATCCAATAACATTTTGCGTTTTTGTTTTCCATTAGCACTGTTAACTAAATATATCCTGTATGGTCAACCTTTTGACCGTCCCCTCAATTGAAGACCTCCAATTAACTGCAAGTCTTTAAAAAAATCTCTTAGTTTTTCTCTATTTTGCTTCCTCTTATAGTATGTGATTGACTGAACCCTTTGTAATTTTGAATGATATGCTAGCATGCTTTTTCCTGTATTAAACCATAAATGACAGAGATACTTAATGAGAAATAAAATAAAATTTATGGAATAAGGTTAAAATGCAACTTGATTTTCCAGAAAAATGTCACTAGTACAAAGGGAAATGTCAGTAAACTGAGAAATACTGTAGGTAAAAATCAAAATCTGGTCAAAACAATGGTTATATATCATTTTAAAATATAATGCTCAAAAACAAAGCAAAACAAAGCAAAACAAACAAAAAAAAAACTAATAAAATACATGATACAATGAACAATTTATTCATCATGGAATCACAAGTCCAGACTAAACATGTGCGAAGTTTTCTCATAAACCCTTACCTAAATTACTGAACACTGTAATATGTGTGTGTGTGTGTGTGTGTGTGTGTGTGTGTGTGTGTTATATAATAGTTACCGGACTGAGAGTATTGTATTTGACTAGAAAAATGCTTTTACACAAAGATCAAAAGACAAATCATCGTCTATACTGAATAAAGACATTGCATTTAAACATTTTAAAGTAAAATCTTCAAATCTGAGACCAGGTTTTTATTGTGACACCATTACATCAAATAGAAATACATGTATTTTGCACCATTTTATATATATTTGTCTAAAATTTGGAAAGTTTCCAAACTGGCACTGTAATTTCTGAGAGTTTTAATTACTCATTCACTTGTGGGTTAAAAACTTATAAATTACAAGTTACAAATTATTAAGGATGAAATTACAATGATTTTGAACTTGTGTTTCAAATCTCATTAAAAACATATTAGGGACTTTACAATGTCTAAGAGCAGTACACTGGATGAGAGGCCCTTCCCCTCTGGCTTACTGAAGAAGAAAGATGTGTTGTTGCAGACACCACAGTTCTGCAGTGATAACAGTCAGAAAACCACTTGCTTACTGGCAGTTGGTTTTAAATGCAGGCATTATGCAGGTAGCTGCAAAACTTGAATGCCTGTTACTTCCTGTGCTGCACAGAGGTCTGAAACAGAAACAACCACATCCTGACCCCATCAGTGCATATATGTATTTCCAGTGCGTCTTATCCTCTTTCTGTACTGTTTCTGCTTGAAGGTAAACACCATCACAGTTAAACAGTAAATTTAAAATGTATTCTTTAAATTAGTAATTAGTAGATTGCTATATCACAGTTTATTCATAATTCTTTCTAAATCTTTAATCAATCAGTTTCAGTTTTAAGGCAGAGCAGTTAAACAGTTGCCTTTTGATTTACACAACCCACTTCCTCACTGTACTTATGTCTACAGAGCTGGACTAGCTCAAACCTAATGCTAGAAATTGTTAAATAGCCACCTGACATGCATGATACTGCTGTTTGTATTGTTTTAGTTCATCAGGGAGCATAGGTTAAATAACAGTACTTCCTGTCTGTATAACAAAGCACAGTCCAACAGCAGCACAGAACACAGACTCAAAAATGATTATATAAATGAATCAACACTCTATATTGCACGACTGTAGCTTAGACTTTGTTTTAGACTGGCCTTCCTAATCAGCTGACCACTGAGTATATATTCATTCCTTCATATCTACAACAGCAAGTCACAACATAGACTCAGACGTAAAATCTAAAAAATATAAAAAAACTTCTGACTTTAATTACTGGGTGAAGTTGATAAAGAATGAACATTGAAATTAGTCACAATCGCTCATTCAGCCTTGCTCTTACTGCAGATGTTGACTCACAGCTGGCAGGTACAGGTGTACAGGGAGGAGAATAGGGGCTACTCTCACTAACAGAACTTCCTCTGATATGTCTCCTCTCTTTGCTTGGAGTTTTGTTTACTACATCTCCAAAAAAATTCACCTCCTAACACACTACTGCTGGGATTTGGGGAGTGGGTTAAAAAGGACAATGTGGACCAGTGGGCTGATCAAAAAATGCTGCTCTTCAGGTGGACAGGTGGAAGACTTCTCCCAGTATGATCCAATGGCCAGTCCAACTATGCTGCTTAAAGTGGCCATGCATGCTCATTTCCAGCCATTTAATGGTTAATCTTGGGTACCTCTAGATTAGCTTGGTACCCCTCATAGCTCCAAATGGTCTGTAATTATTTCAGAATGATAAAACCAAAGAGTGTTTCTAAAAATAAGAGGATAGTTCGTGAACGCACACAGCTTCTGTAGCTGGTGTTGTGTCACAAATGGACAGCACAACAAACCGCAATGGCATTAATTAATTTGAATTTCTCCTCGATAGACAGGTAAACAACGGTATATGTACTGATGAAAACAGATGTGTAACACTCTAAACAAACCGGGTAGATGAGAAATACTAGAACATATGTAGACCTCATTTTTTTAGCTTTAGGTCAGGTCTAAGATGATAATTCCCTGTTGTAACATTGTAGATAAGTCAAAAAACAAGGAAAAGCAAGCCATGGGATCTTTACCAAACAGATCAGTAAATACACATAAACTAATAACTAAGTGACTAAAAAACTAAATTCATGGAAACCTACCAGGAGCAAAATTGTTATTCTTGCCATTGCAGACAAGAACCAGAGCATGCCTATGCATGTCTGATAACCCATGAAATTTGATATCATTGGTTTGGTGTTAACATCTCTTTTTGCAGTCTAGACCACCATATAACTTTTAATGGGAGAATTAAATAAGTTACTTAAGGTGAAATATGATATGATACTGAAATGCAGCGGGGTACCATCTGGAAGTCAGGAGGAGGAGCTCAGCTGCAGTTGGCTCCAGCCCAATTTAACCCCAGATTGGGTCCTCCATCATCCATCTTGTGTCAGAGGTCTTGTAAAAGGACTCTGTGTCAAAATCTAGCTTTAAGAGCTGAACTGGTCATTTGGTGTACAATTGTGCCTTCCATTAGTTCATACGTGTCTATTTATTACGGAACATTTAAAAAGGTGGTATTATTCCAACAGGAGAATGTTAAGGCTGTAACCAACTGTTATTTCATTATCAGGATCTGAGAGTTATTTTCAATAATAATGAATTGATTGGAGCAGAAGTTTTCTGACATTTATGTCTAATCTTGATATTCACTAACAATATTACAGTTTGACATTTGTCTGTGCCATCACTGTCATACACAGAGAGATTGACTCATTTAAAAAGTTTACTTTATTTTCACACTGTGCCATTTATCTCCACCTACACTTGACCTTAATATCTTAACTACTATTACTACTACTACTACCAGTTATGGTATAACACAGGGCTGAACTCATTCTTTACAAGCATGCTTTCTGGTTGGTCATTTCACAGGTCTGCTGCTTTTTTTCTTCATCGTTTTGGTCACCATCTGCATTAACATTCTTCTTCCTCTACTTTTTGATCATTAAGGGCAAAGTGAGAGTCAGAATAAACTCAAGCAGTATCCCCTCCTCTTCTCCCTTCACTCCTCTTTGCCCCTCCTGCCCTGTCTCTGAAACTATGTCATATGTGGTCACAACAGGTGGAGACAGTTGTAGCAGTCAGTTAGAGCAGCAGTAATAACGGGCTCCAGAACTAATGTATACAGAATATAGAGCCCACAGAGCCTGTGGTTTTCAGTAACACTGCAGCGACACAATGTCAAATAAAGAGGTTTACATTTTAGTGATATGCATACATATATCTAATATTGATAGTAGCAGATGTATCTGCAGTAACACAAGCAAATTATACACATTTTTTCCCAGTAATATTGATACTGTAGTAATGTGCAGGCCACTATCACATCATGTTCAGTAAATAATGAATCCTTCTACCATGCTGCCCTTATTCTAAGTGGTCTTTCTGTTTTTTGTTTTTTTACTGACCCATACAGTCACCATGAGGACCAAGGCCATCCTAGTTCAGAAGTTATTCATGTTAATCCTTTGGATTTCTGCGTCTTCTGTTGGCAATCAAACATACCACAACAATACCCCCACTCTCTCCTCAAACAACAAGACTCCAGATTCATCTAATGAGAGTCAGTCAACCACGCCAACAGGTGGAACGGACCTGAAACAGAATTACAACATTACTACAACATTTTTAGCATTGACGAGAACATCACATTTAACAAAAACCAACCAACCTGACCATTATTCCTCTGTATCGCCAACCACAAACACAACCACAAACACAACCACTACCACCCATACCGGCATTGGAACAAAAGTAACCCTTTTTCTGATTCTGTTGGCCATCCTGCTGTTGACGCTGTTTTTGGGATTCCTCCACCACATGAGAAACCGGCAGTTAGATCAGGGCAGATCCGGCCCCAGGTTCATACTGCATGTGAGAGAGAGGCTGAGGGCTGCAACTGGTAACCTGGAGAACTGCATGGGGTGTTGCTTCTGGCCAGTGGGTAAGAGAGGAGGAGAAGATGAGGAGGAGGAGGCCGAAGGAAGAGAGGAAGAACAAGAAGATGACCTGAAGGAAAGCGCACTGAACAGACAAGAAGAAGAAGAAGAGAGAAAACAGAGAGAGGATGAGGACAATGAGGAAACAAGTAGTGTGAGTGAGGGAAGCCAAAGTCCTGTGGATGAAGAAAGCAGTGGTGTTAACAAAGGAGGCTCAGAAGAGATACCACTTATAAACTCTCCACAGGAGAATGAAGAAAAGGCCAATTTGTGTGATGTTACCATCCTGTAGTGACAGAGCATAAATGCAAGGATGAGGAAAAGATGCCAGGATTATAAATGATCAGGGATCAAATTTAAAATAAAGATAACTTTAAATATGTGGTTTTACTAAAGATTAAAGCTCTTGAATGCTGCAGGATCTTCTTCATGTCTTTAAATTGTAGGTTAAACATATACTGTAATAGTTTATATATGTTTCATGTTCTAAATCAGTAGGTCAAATATTATTATGTAGGAATATAGCCAGTCTTTGTTTAATGACTCAAAGAAAGAGCTGAAATATAATTCTTTATCATCAACATGAAGGGTTTCAATATAGCATTTACTTTGGAACCTTTTGTTTTTACCTTTAGTTGAAAAAGAATAATACTGTAGGTTGAACTGTAGTCATTTGACTTTAGTGCCACCGTACAGACAAGTCTTTAACTTTAATTTGTAAAGTCTGCTTCTATTGCTGATTGTTGCATCTGATGTGGGTTTTAAAATACTTCAATGAGTAAAAAGCAAAGAATGTGCTTAGAGTTTAGAATAGTCAAAATGAAAACTCTACCTCTAATCAACTATCGGTTTACAATGCTTCCCACCACACCCACAGATAAATGGTTTAAATCATTGTAAGCAAAACAACTAACACAAAGTCCAGGATATCAATCAGGTCGATAAGACAGTCCAGGGTCGGCGCCGGTAAACAGGTATAGCCAGGGGATCCAAACTCGAGGTCAAGGGGGACAAAATCAGAAGGTTGGTACACAGCAGGCGATCAGAATCTGGGAGGGCATAGACAAAACACGGTGGTCAAAAAATGGTAATCCTAGGTCAAAAACAGAGAGTCAGGCAAGGTATAAGTGCTGGAGAGTCAGAGCTGGGGTCTAGAACAAACTGGCAGCGTCCTGGTGGGAGGACGCTGCCTAAATAGAAGTGAAAAACAGGTGCAAACAATAAGGAGCAGGTGAACTAATGATGATTAAATAAAAGGGCCAAAACTGAGTTGAAACAAAACAGGAAGTCATGTGAAAATAAAAGCATGACAGGAAGCAAGAGGGGCAGGAGCGTGACATACTAGGTCAATAGAGAGACTACATGAGTCAGTGGTTTCAATAAGTGTGCCACAGGAACTACTTTTGTCTTAACAATTGCAAAAAACTGTAACGTCTATGGGCTCTGAGGCCCTCAGTGTTCTGATCATCTCCCTCTTCCCTCTTTCTCTGCTCAAGAGGTGGGTATGTGCTTTCTTCCAACACTACATACTCTGAGTTGGAATCTGGGGAGTCTGGTGCAACTTCAGTAGAAGGGGGGTACAATATCAGTAGGGACAACTTTTCTCACTTTGCTGGGTGCTGGAACTGGACGGTCACAAGGTTTAAGGTAGGCTCTGTGGACCCTTTTTATGGAGCCACCCTCCATGGGCTATACTGTTCTGCCCTGAACCTAAAGAACTCTGTATACAATAGGTCACCAGGCATTTTGAGGTTTTGTGCCCAGTAGCTTACTAGCTGACCTACTTCTACAGGGGGACAATATACTTTGGTTTGTTCATGCTCAAGTCTGCAGTTTTCTGTTAAGCTTTCACTGCTTTGCAGTGCATTGCTCATCAACCACACTGCTTTGCAGTGAAAGCTGTTTACAAAACCCACAAGGGACTGAGCAACAAACCATATACAGGCACTACACAGATTGATATCCAAACAAAACAAATAGATAAATAAATTGAAAAAATAAAAACAATAAAACAAAATAAATTAAAAAAACTGATACATAACCGGGGGTTAGAATAATTCAAATTGACTGATTGCAGATAAAAGACTTCGGGCTCCTTTACCATTCATACAACCCAGGGATTTCTTAAGTGTGGATATTTCACACCCAAACGCAACTAAAGAAGGTTGCCTTTTACTCCATTTACATTTATGGATATATTATTTTGCCAAAATTATATCAATTATTGACCAAAAATTCAGCATTTTCTTCTTTCACAAATACACCAAATTTGATGTTTTCTAAAGTAAAAGGTGTTAAAACATCAATTTTGGACCTGAGCCAGTCATTTAAACATGCCCAAAAGTTAAATGTAAGATTTCAATAGAAAAACTAATGATCTGTGGTCTAGCTGCCCCAGTTACAAAAAGTACAGCAGTTATCATCCATATTAAATTTCAATTGTAAGAATTCTTTAGAGGGGTAGAATTCATTAAGCATCCTGAAATGCACCTCTCTGGCTAAGATCAAGTATTTGGCCAGGTTTGTTAGACACACAATGAATTTGTTCCCAGCAGCGGCTATACTTCATCAGGCATCTTAGAAAAGCTGGGCTGAACCATTGCCCTCTCACCCAGGCTTATAGAGGACTGACAGAGAGCATCCTCACTACTAGCATCACAGTCTGGTAGAGAGGAAGGCTCTTCACAGGGTCATAAAGACTGCAGAGAAGATCATTGGGACTGAACTGCCTGCTATGGACACACTATACACACAGCGCTGTCGTAAAAGGGCAGAGAACATGATCAAGGATCCACACCATCCAGCTCACTCTCTGCTCAGACACAAAAACTGCACCTACAGCCTCAGGCACAGCAGGGCAGACAGTATCATCACACACAGAACGAGACTTTACAGCAGCTTTTTTCCCTGCTGCAGTAAGACTGATGGCAAATACGAAAATGTGAGAAATATGAGAACATATGTGTAATAACTCCTCACTACCTCATCAAGTGTAATGCCATATCCAACTCCACCATGTGAATTACTAAGTGCGATGTCTGAAGTTCACTGTGGGAAATACTATTACTCTATTTTTGTATATTGCTGTTTTAATGCTTTGTCGCCTTTATGTAACTTTTTATTTTTAGACTAAGTGTTCTTTCTGGCTTTTGACTCCTTACCTGACTCCAAAGGAGAGCGGCGCAAAATTCCTATATGACTAGACTGTCTGTTTATGCATAAATGGCAAATAAAAATCTTGAATCCTTGAAGTTGCTGTCTCATAAACATTGCTCATCAACCACATTTATGTCGCTGATCTAGGACATAGTATCGGATTGACAGAAGAATAAAGAATATCCTGTGACACCATCTGTTTAAGCTGGAAGGGAACATCATGAATACTCCTCTCATATGTATTTCTTGATGAAGATAAGTTATATTTCATAGATAGTTTAGAATATCCATCCATCCATCCATCTTCGTCCGATTTATCCGAGACCGGGTCGCGGGGGCAGTAGTCCGAGAGGGGCCTCCCAGTTCAGAAAAAGTAAATAAATTGCCTCCATCCATTAGATGAGCAATAGACCAAATCCCCTTCTTCAGCCGCAAAAATTATGCTTGAATACCAGTTTCCAATACTGAAGAACTTGTTGATGAAAGGCAGATAAAGACAAAGACAACTTACTGAGTTCAAAATCACAGCTTAAAAGAAATTTAATTCCCCATCATTTTTAAAAATCACATGCCAAATCGAATCTCCTTGCTTCATAAAGCCTTGCAATGGTTTTATTTTAATCATCCCATTCATAATATGAAAGTCAATAACTTTCAATCCCTCATCTTCATAGCTTTTTAACATGTCATTTTTCCTAATATAATGGCAAGAGATAGTTATCCCCATCAGTGGTGTTTCAGTCCTTTGATGGCCAACAATGTCCCCCTAATGACTAAGCCATTATAGCCCGGTAGCGGTGAGCGTCGTTACCTGTCTTTAAACCCTTGAACCCAAAGTTGTAACTTTTAAAATCATATTCTCACAGATAAAATACACACTGCATATTTTACATATTATTTGACTTATAGCACTGTTTATGAAAACACATTTTTGTGTACAACTTTTTAATTTATGTACAACCATAGACTAATACGCACACATATTATTGATAGATAACATTCAAGAGAATTTCATGCAGAGTACGACGTAGTCGACGTCGCTAAGCACCAAGGTTAATAGACTTATCATTTTATGAGTAATTTCAGTTAGTCATATTTATGATCACAGAGGGAAGAGGGAGATGCGCATGATAGCAATGATCTAGAATTTCACATTTTCCTGGGGCTGCCAAAAGTGTCTGTGTGTCTATGTGTGTATTTGCCTTTCTGCCTGTCAGAAAGAAACAACCTCTCTTGTTGCTCTCTGGTTCTCTCTTACTGCTCTCGCCTGCCATCTGGTAAACATCAGACATGACTCTACAAACTGGATGGTTGAGCATTGCCCTTGCTCACAGGTACTTTTATTTTACAACTTTGCCATACAAGGATACTGTGTCCCACTCCAAATACATCCGTGTGGGAACATACACCATGCAATTAACCCCATTGCTATAGGACAGGAGTTGGAGTTTGCGGGGGGCAGTACAGGATAGCGTGGCGATTGGACTCAAAGCGTGCAAAGAAGCTGTTCATGCCTCTCCTCAGATTGGCTCTTGAGGTGCTGTATGCCGAGTTGTCACCAGTCCTAAAGGCCACGAGTCGTCTCATCAGAGCCTGAAATTCACCCATCATCCAGGGTTTTCGGTTTGGAAAAATCTGAATGAGTTTGTTTACTATGACAGTTTCGACACAGCACCTGTTGTAAAATAGCACAGACCATGTAAGAGTTCAGGTCCTGTTGCTCGAAGATGCTCCAGTCCGTATGTGTGTGTTATGTTTTAGTCCCACTCACCAGGAGGGTGAGGGAGAACTGAGATAGGACTCAAGATGGCCGACCCAGGTGCTGTAAAAAGGTGGTTTAATGGTGGGAAATGCACAGTAACAGCAAAACAACATATCATAGTCCATGGACAGAAACCAGCAAAGTAGGGCAGAGATGGTGGAGGAGACCAGGACGACCAGGGGAGTAGACAAGCTAACGGCAGAAAACAGGAGAGTGGGAGGATCAGGACAGACAGTGAATAGACAACTAACCAGGAGGAGTGGTAAACAAAAAGGGAAATCCACAGCACAGGAACTGTCAGCGTGTGGAATGTCCAGAGATGTATAACATAAAACAAATAACCAACATACAAAATGAGATCCACAGCACAGGAACTGTCAGCGTGTGGAATGTCCAGAGACGTATAACACAAAACAAATAACTAACATACAAAATGCAATCCACAGCACAGGCACTGTCAGCGTGGAAAGCAAAATGTCGCACAATACATACCAC